TCCATCTCTGGCATTCAAAGATGGATGGATGGATGGACGGATGGGGGCAAAAAGAACCAAGATGAGTAAGCCCAGAGGATTGCTGCATAGTACCAGGCCAGGTGTAGAGGGACATGTCTTTAATCCCAACACTTAGAAGGTTAAGGCAGGAGGATCTTTGTGAGTTGAAAGCCAGTCTTTTCTCCAGGTCAACTAGTGCTGTACAGTGAGACCCTCTGTAAAATAAAATAAATAAAATAAAATTACCCAGAGTATCTCTTATGACAACTATTCATTTTATTTCTCTACTTACCCTGTAGTCCTGGCTGGGCTGGAACCTCCCTGATAGACCAGGCGGTACCTCAATTTTGCAGTAATTCTCTTGCCCCTCCCTTCTAAGAGTTGGGATCATGCAGGTATGCCACCACACCGGCCTTGATTGTCCTTTTACATACATAGAAGTGAATAAGAGGGTGAGGAGACCTTTGAGGTGAAAGGCAGGTCCACAGCATAGGCTGTCTTGGCAGTCTCATGGTTGTCCACTCGTCTGCATTCCATCACTTCACAGACATTAAATTTGCTTACTGTCTTCTTTGTATGCCAATCATACAATAAAGTGCTTTGTTTTAGTTTTATTTTGGTGCTGAGCATTGAATGCAAGGCATCACACATAATGTATTTTTAAGGAAAGGAAGACTGTAGACAGACACACAGAATACAGCCCGGGAGAACATGGAGCAGAATGTCTAGATGAAATCTGTAGCTGGGTGCCGTAGTGCACATCTGTAATCCCAATCCTTGGGAGACTATGGAGGATCCCTGCTTGAGTTCAAGGCCATCTTGGGCTACATAGAAAAGGTAAAGTGAGCCAGGATAACATAGCATGACCCTGCCTCAAAAAAAAAAAAAAAAAAAAAAAAAAAAAAAAAAAAAAGAAAAAGAAAGAAAGAAAGAAAGAAAGAAAGAAAGAAAGAAATTGGCAACAGTGGTGACTTTTGAGGAAGAGCAGTTGCAGTGGTTGTCAACCTTCCTACACTGCGACCCTTTAATACTGTTCCTCATGTTGTGGTCACCCCCAACCATAACATTGTCTTCGTTGATGCTTCATAACTGTAATTTTGCTCCTGCTATTCATCATATTGTAAATATCTGACATGCAGGCCACCTGATATTCGACCCCCAAAAGGGTTGACTCCGAAGGTTGAGAGCCACTGGATTGAGGGCCTAAAAAGAGCTGATTTCAGCTGTGGCAGTGTTTCAATTTTTAACAAGGATAATGTCTTCATGTTTGACTTGTGAAATTAAATATTAATTCATACTGGAGAGGGCCTGGTCAGCGTCTGGCTGCTGATTTCCACAGCCTTTGTCTTATCTCTCGAAGGTAGAACCTAACACTAAAGAGCGCCAGGAGGCTGTGTAGCCCTTTATCATGTGGGAGCCTCTCGTGCAACGGCACCACCTTCTAGTCTGCTATCTTGGGTCCCGCCTTCCCTGTGAGGTCTTGGAGACTTTCCTTTGTTACAGATATGTGTTGCACTGAAGCATCAAAAACTCCTTTACACATGGTCTGTCTTCTTCACTGTATCTGTATGTATTCATTTCTGTTGATGGAGCCTCACCAGTGCAAGGCAAGCATGCAACTGTGCGACATGCTTGAGATAACCTGTTAATTACAGATAGCAAAAGTCAATCATGCTGCAGTAGAGACTCAGAGGGACACTTAACAAGCACTCTTAAGATGATGTCTCAGACACTGTGTTCCTCCTGTTGGGAAACCCAGGGCATGGGGCATCGCATCACATCCAGGCACTAAAAAACCAGAATCAAATCCTAAGGAAACATCAGGTTGGACCCAGGTTGAGAGACATTCTCTAAATGAAGAAACTGGACTCCGTAAAGATGTCAGTTCATGAGAGATGGAGGTTGAAGTTCTGTTCCAGGTTAATGAAGAGACAAAAATAGATTGCACGAATACTCTGTGAAATTGAATGGGACCCTCGATCTGATGGGCACATGCCATAAAAGAGACAGTTTGCTTTACTAGATGGCTCAGCAGGTAATGGTGCTTGCCTGCCACCAAGCCTGATGACCTGAGTTCTTTCACTGGGACCCACATGATGGAAGGAGAGAACCATTCCTGCAGACTGCCCTCTGACCTCCTCATGTACACTGTCTTAGTTAGGGTTTCTATTGCTGCAACTAAATACCACCACCATGAAGCAAGTTGGGTGTAAAGGGTTTATTTGACTTACACATCTACAGCATTGCTCTCCTCATTATAGGAAGTCAGGACAGAAACTCAAACAGGGCAGGAACCTGGAGGCAGGAGCTGATACAGAGACCATGGAGGGGTGCTGCATACTGGCTTGCTCAGCCTGCTTTCTTATAGAACTCAGGACCACCAGCCCAGGGATGGCACCACCAACCATGGGCTGCCTCCTCAGCCCCATTGATCACTAATTGAGAAAAGGTCCTACAGGTGGATCTCATGGACTCTCAACTGAGGCTCCTTCCTCTCTGAGGACAAAACCAGCCGGTACATACACTGTGGCAGGCAACAAACAACCACCCACACAGAGAATAAATAAATGTAATTTAAAACATTTTAAAGAGATAGTTGGCAAACATGAGTTGTGGTGTCTGAGATGAAAGCTATATGTGTGTGTGTGTGTGTGTGTGTGTGTGTGTGTGTGTGTGTGTGTGGTGTGGGTGGTGTGTGGGTGGTGTGTGGGTGGTGTGTGGGTGGTGTGGTGTGTGTGTGTGGTATGTGGGTGGTATGTGGGTGGTGTGTGGGTGTGGTGTGGTGTGTGTGGGTGTGGTGTGGTGTGTGAGATGAAAGCTATATATATATATGTGTGTGTAGTGTGTGTGTGTGGTGTGGTGTGTGTGTGTGGTGTGGTGTGTGAGATGAAAGCTATATATATATGTGTGTGTGTGGTGTGTGTGTGTAGGTGTGGGTGTGTGTATGTGTGTGGTGTGTGTGTGTGTATACATATATATCAAGGTTTAGTAACTGCATCTGAATATAGCAGATAATCATTGATTGGAGCTAATGCACTTGATGCTCGACTGAGAAGTATGACAGTTAACTCCCTAGTGTGTTGGTACACGAATGGGGTGGAATGGGTAGGGCGAACTTCTTTGGCAAAGGGACAAATAGAGATGTTTCTTTTAAAATTTATTTATTTATTTATTTATTTATTTATTTATTTCGAGACAGGGTTTCTCTGTGTAGCTTTGGAGGCTGTCCTGGAACTCGCTCTGGAGACCAGGCTGGCTTCAAACTCACAGGCCCCTGCCTCTGCCTCCCAAGTGCTGGGATTAAAGGCATGCGCCACCAAAGCCCGGCTTATTTTTATTTTATGAACATTGGTTTTACTTGCAGGTATGTCTGTGTGAGGGTGTCGGATCCCCTGGAACTAGAGTTTCAGCCAAGTGTCAGCTGCCATGTGGTTGCTGGGAATTAAACCCAGGTCTTCTGGAAGAGCAGCCAGTGCTCTTAACTACTGAGCCATCTCTCCAGCCCCTCTTTTTTCTTTTTTTAAGCTTTGGAGGCCATATGGTCTCTGTCACTGCCATTCAGTCAGCTGTTGCAGTACCAAGCATCCACAGGCCGTGTGTGATGGGTGTGACAAAGCACTAGTAAAACTGTATGTGAAGGCTTCCACAATTCCAGTGACCTGAATATTCATAGAGTGTGGGCTATTTTAAAATAATTGTTATTTTCAACCCTTCAAAACCCACTTCTGTCTTACAGCCTCCACAGTATTAGATGGCAGGTTGGCCTGGTGGGCACTGATCCCTGATACAGAAGAGAAACACACCCCAGGAGACAAGTACATACTGAGACCTCCCGTGACTGGGGAGAGTTTAGAGAAGGGCAGTCTTCACATGGCTCCTGAAAGTCCACACTCCTGAAATCATCTTAGGATAAATAGGCATATTAGGAAAACACGATTTTTCCCTCTGGAAGGCCCCTCCTTGCAAATGAATAGCCCACACATTCTTGGATGTCATTGCTAATTATTCTATTTATTTACTTATTTTTAACCTTTTGGGACATGGTCTCAGTGGTCTCACTGTGTAGCTCTGGCTGGCCCAGAATTTGTTGTATAGACCAGGCTGGCCTCGAATTCACAGAGATCCACCTGCCTTTGCCTCCCAAGTACTGGGTTTAAAGTTGTCCACCACCATTCATGGTCTGTTTAATGTTTTCTTCCTTTACTTTGTAGTTTTCTGCTTTAACTTCCTGCCTTGCTTGGCAGGCATATTAGTTTAGACTCTGTACTTGGTGTCTCCTCTTTTTCTCCTCTGCTAAACATGCTTCTGTGTCAGCTAAGGAAATGTCTATTTAAGCCAGGCATGGTGGCACGTGCATTTGATCCTAACACTTGGGACAAAGAGGCATTCAGATCGCTGAGTTCAAGTCCATTCCTGTCTGCAGGTCAGCCAGAAAGAAAGGGAGGGAGGGAGAGAACAAATGAAATTGGCTATTTGTTGCAGGTCATCCAGGAAGGAAGGAAGCAGGCAGGGAGCGAGGAAAGGGGAAGAAATGAGAATGGCTCTTTGGACTTTGCTGCTCATTGGTTTTAGCTTCATGCTCTGTACCCTCCTGCTTTCCCCATCACCTCCACAGACATTACTTACTGGGAGTCGAGTGTGGCAGCAATCTGAGAATTTACTGTGTTGCCTTCTCCCAGCCTCAGGATAAGTCTCTTGTTATATAGCTCAGAAGGGTTATTTCCAAGAATGAAATACCAGATTTATTGAGCGATGATGTCTGGGGCAGGAAGATGTCTGGTTGTGGGGGGCAGTGGGAATTGGAGCTTTTCTTAGCTGACTTAGCAAGAGTTCTCTTCATATCGAGGATCAGAAGCTCAGTGAGCAGCAAGTAGAGAGGAGCTTACGGGTCCCTACTGCCCATGACTTAAACCCAAGAGCCGAAATCTATGTTGTGCTTTTACCATAAAATACTTGAGACTGGTGCTTTATAAGTTTAAGAGGTGTGCTTTGGCTCATAGTTTTGGAGGCTGAATGCAAGCTGGAGGGCCGTATCTCACGAGGGTCATGGCGTGCATCATGGATTGGATAATTACCGTGGGACACAATGAACGCAGTGAGTGTGTGTGGAAGAGATGTGTCGGGAGGTTGAGGGAGAAGCACCCGACTTACACGTCAGTCTGTTCTTGTGAGTCCTGATGTAGTCCCATGAGACTTAACCGACTCCTGTAACTTAGTCCTTTCAACAGCATGCTGCCTTGACCTAGTTACCTCTCACTTGTTTCCAGCTCTTAAAGCGCCCAGCACATCTCAACACTGTGACATTGAGGGCCCAGCACGTATACCTTTGGACACAAACCCAAGCCATAGCAGCAGATGCTGTGAGAATTTCATCTTATTATCTCTGGATTCTCTTTTCATGCCTGGCTTCATTCTTAGGAAGACTTGGCCCATTCAGACTAGAGTGAGGATGCCTAGGAGAACAAAACATCTCTCATGTAATCCCTCCATCCACAGTCCTAGGACTAGCTCTCATTGGGTCAATGGGAACCATGTGTTCACCGCTGAATGCAATCAGACTAGTGGATAATAATTGGCTGGCACTGGACATGTGACCAACTGGACTGGGCATGTTCTGAAGGGAAGCTGGGTGGTGGTGGCACACGCCTTTAATCCCAGCGCTTGGGAGACAGAGGCAGGAGGATCTCTGTGAGTTCTAGGACAGCCTGGTCTACAAGAGCTAGTTCCAGGACATCCTCCAAAGCCACAGAGAAACCCTGTCTTGAGAAACCAAACAAAACAAAAGTTGACAAGGGGTAGGCTGGGGATGTAGTTTACTTGGTAGTATGTATGCCTACATGCCTAAAGCCCCGGGTTTGAGTCCCAGTACACATAAATGGCGTGTGTTGGCATATGGGTGTAATCCTCATACTCAGGAGGTAGAAGTGGAAGAATCAGAAGTGGGTCATCCTCAGCTACACAGTGAGTTCAACGCCATCCTGGGAAATTCCACAAAATCGGGAAGAAACATTTGCCAAGGAGGCTGAAGATGTACTTCAGTGGTAGAAAATGTGCCTACAGTGCACAAGTTACTGGCCTCAGTCCTCAGACAGACACACAGACACACAGACAGACACACACACACACACACACACACACACACACACACACACACACACACACACACACCACGCATGGCAGCCCTTCCACAACAGGTTTGGTTGTTAACATCAGAAAGAATGAGATAGGCACATGCCTTAATCCCAACACTCAGCAGAGGCCTGGGGAATCTCTGTTCACAGCCAGCCTGGTTGACACAGTGACTTCCAGGAAATCCAGGGCTACATAGAGAGACGCTACCTTAAAAATAAAATAAAATAAAAAAAAGTCAGGAATGACACGAGGGGAGAGCTGGCGCTTATTCCAAAGCTGCGATGTCCTGCCGCCTTCCTCAGTCAGTTCTTTCACAGCCACGTCCTTGATAGTTGTACCATTATAGCTATCACCCGAGATGATGTGTCTGTGTCCACCCTCCCACCACGCTGCTCTGCCTTCAGGAGACACACAGGATCTACAAGCAGAAGCTGGAGGAGCTGACGGCGCTACAGACACAGTGCAGCACTTCCATCAGCAAGCAGAAGAGGCACCTCAGGGATCTGAAGCACACACTCCAGAGGTAAGGGGGGGGCAATGCCCACGAGCTCCCCCGGGGTCTCCTGCCCCACCTCCACTCATCTCACTCCATAGGCCGCTGAAGATGACCTTGAATTTCTGACCCTCCTTCCTCCCCTCCAGAGTTAGAACTACAAGTATCAATCACCATGTGTGGTTTATGCAGTGCTTGGTTCACTGGGATGGAACCAGGGCTTTGCACACGAGAGGTGAGCATTCCACCAAAGAGCTGCACCCCTAGGCCTCCCTGGTTCTAAAGGACAGACACCCAACTCAAAGCTGGCTTAAGAAGAAAATGGAAATTTTAATGGAAAAAAACCAAGGGATAGCTTCAGGCATCACTGGATCCAGGGGTCGGAGTGTGTTTCTAGAACTCTGTTTTTTTCCTCTGAATTCTGCTTTTCTCTGGTTAGGCTTTGCTGTATTGGTCACTGAGATGGACACCTGCCTGCTGAGCTCAGATCCTTCAGTCTTCCTGACTGAGGAAGTTTGGGGCTTCCAGCCTCTTTCTTTTTTAATAATTGTCTGCTGCTGAGACTGTTTGGAAACTGGGTGCTCATTTGAACCCCAGTAAATACAGTAGAGCCTACAAGCCCAGTTCTGACAGACACTGCTCAGCATCACCACAGAGAGGCACTGGCTGAGGAAGGCTGACCCGTGAGTTAGGGTTCTAGACTGAGGAGGAACCTTCCCATTCCAGGGTGTGGCATCTCCCAATGTGGTTCTATTCTTTGTTTTTGAAAGATGGGGTCTCATGTAGCCCATGCCGACCTCAAACTGGCCATATCCGAGGATGACCTGAACTCTCAATCCTTCTGCCTCCCCATCCAAGTGCCTCTGCCTCTTCTTCTTCTTGGGGAGGCAAGGGTTTGGTTTTTTGAGGATTGCTTTGTGTAACCCTGGCTGTCCTGGAACTTGCTTTGTAGACCAGGCTGGCCTCGAACTCAGATACCCACCTGCCTCTGCCTCCTGAGTGTCTGTAGTGGCATCTTGTCTTGCCAGTGAACTTGTGGTGTTGCTCACACCCTTTGGGCGTGATTTCAGGTTCAGATGTAATCTCTTATAAGGTAGAGGAGGGCCTGGCTCCCGCTCTCTTGGGTTGCAATGAGAGCATCCGAAGGGCAGAAACTAGATCTTCTGGAGCAGGAAGTCGGAGGCGGGATTGAAGGTGTATGGTGCCACTGCCCCCATCACCTGTCTTCCTGAGTGTTGAGTTTATTATAAGCATGTGCCACCACACCTGCCTCCAGCTTGGTTTTCTAGTTTTGATAATTACATCTCTCCAAAGAGCAACAGGAAGACCCTGATTGGTTGACTGCTAATACTTTCTCGTGTCCCTAGGCAGTCCATTTAGACATCTTTAAGTTGTGTTACAATGAAGCAAACATCTCACCCTCCCACCCAAGTCCGTCAGCTGCTGTAGCTGAGTGTCATTCCAGATGCTTTTCTGTGTCTCTCATGTCGTCTTTACGTGGCTATTGTTTGTGGATGCCACTCTTATGTGTCGGGTATGGGAAGTGGCATTGTCAAGGTCTCAAGGCTACAGGAGCTCAGCGTCAGTCCCATTACAGGTACAAGCGACATTCCAGTCAAGAAGAGGCGGAGCTCATCCAACAGATAGGCGCCAACATTAAGGAGCGGCAGAATGTCTTCTTCGACATGGAGGCCTATCTACCCAAGAAGAATGGGTAGGAGTGGGGAAGCTGTGATTCCTGTTCTGGGCCCCCACTCTCCTGGGGTGTGAGATTCAAAGGAAAGGGGGATGGGGACTATCCAGGAGGAGCTGCAGTCCTTCCCCTGTGTCTGGAAGTGATGTCCCGGGGGGTAACTCTTGTGAGCTGGCACCTGATACCTGTGCCATCTGGGGTAGAAAGAAAGTGTTCTCTCTCAAGAGAACCAACAGGTATTGAGTGCATTCTGCGTGCCCAGCATTGTACTGGACATGCCCGTGGCAGCAGTCATTTTATCTTCAACAACCTGCTGTATTAGATTGAAGCGTTTGCCCCTTTTGTTTCCTTTGGGGTTTGAATCCAGGGCATCCTGGCATGCTAGGCAGTGTTCTAGACTCAAGTACATCCCAGCCATTTTTTTTTTTTTTTAATGTTTTAAGGAAGGGCTGCACTATATTGCTTTGGCTGGCCTGAAACTCTCTTATATTTTTGGTTGTGAGCCTAGCCTTTAACTGCTGAGCCATCTCTCCAGTCCTCTGAAACTCTCTATAGACCAAGCTGCCCTCAAACTTGGGGTGATTGTCCTGCCTCCCCCTCCTGAATGCTATAATTACAAGTGTGTGCCATACTCTGCCCTTATTTACCTGCTGGTTTTTTTTTTTTTTTTTTTTTTTTTTTGCTGCTGTTTTTTTTTTTTAAAGATTTTATTTATTTAAAGATTTTATTTATTATGTATACAACATTCTGCTTCCAGAATGCACACCAGAAGAGGGCAACAGATCTCATTCAAGGTGGTTGTGAGCCACCATGTGGTTGCTGGGAATTGAACCCGGGTCCTCTGGAAGAGCAGTCAATGCTCTTAACCTCTGAGCCATCTTTCCAGCCCCTACCTGCTGTTTTTGAAGCAGGGTTTAGCCTGTCATGGAGTCAGATCTTTTCTGGGGGAGATTCCTGTTAAGCCTCAGTAGATGGGTATTGATACCCATGGGACTTGTTAGCCCTTCCCTCACTTTTCCCTTGTTACTGTATTTGCCTTACAAGCTCCCCGAGTTAGTTGTCAGTCCTGTTAGCAGCAACCCTCCCTTCATCATTTGGGACCTCAGTACTGTGTTGCTCAGATTCATTTCCCCAGCTTTTTGCTCCCCAGCCGTTTAGACATTTTGCATCAGTTGGGAGTCTATGTCACATAGGCCGGACAACTCAAAAGTTGTCTGAGATTAAATGAAGGGTTTATAGCTCAGATGTAGTAAATATAGATCAGGTGTGAATGGATCCTGCTATTTAGATGCTGTTAGAACCCATTTCTCATTTTACTTTTTATTGTCTTTTCCAATATGTATGTATTTATTCTATTTTAGGGTATTCTTTCTCTATAAACTACTCCCCAGCCATGATAGGCTTGCCTAGCCTTCCTGATAGGAAAAATCTGGTCAGTGGTCTTGGGGATTTTAAATTCTAGGTGGGTTAGATTGTGTCCTGTGTCCTTAACCCAGCCAGGAGGATGTGCTGCTTTGATAAAGCTATGCTCACATGCCTTTTGGGGCCTGTTCTCTTAAGGGATTGCATTGCCCATGCAGGACGTAGGGACCGAGTGCTAGGTAGAAATAAAGGTGTCGTCTTAGTACTTCACATCTTCTACCGACCAGCAGTGCTCCAAAAAGCCAGCTGGAAAGAAGGGCGCCCTGCTCCCATTTCTCCTCTCCAGCTTCTCAGTCTTCAAAGCTCAATCCACATGCCAGCTATCACCTCAATGGATTCTTTCCAAAACCCCGTCAGTCACAGGAATTTACCCTTCCTTCCTACCTGCAGGGTTCAAGGAACCTTTGCTTACACCTTTGGTAGTGTGTTAGAGCACAGGCTGTTGGACAGAGAGAGTCCTAGCTATGCCATGGTTCACGTAAGAGAGTTTCTCCAGGGGCTGGAGTGATGGCTCGGGTGGTTAATAGCTTCTGTTGCTCTTGCAGAGGACCCGGATTCAATTCCCAGCACCTACATGGTAGCTGGTCACTGTCCAGAACTGTAATTCCAGGGCATCTGATGTCCTACTCTGGGCTCTGAAGGCACTAGGCACATGTTGTATACAGATGTACATAGGAGCAAAACATTGAAACACATATGAGAGAGAGAGAGAGAAGAGAGAGAGACAGAGACAGACAGAGAGAGCATGAGCATGTGAGTTTGAGAGTTCTCTTCTCTTTGTCATGAAGAATCTGAGGTTAGAGGCCAAGAGCCATGGGCCAAGAGACCATCCAGAGCCTGTAGTTGTCTTCTTCCATGAGGACACAGACACTTCCCACCATCACAGTTTCAGGAAAGAAAAAGAGGGAAGGATGCAAATGGTCCCTTTTTTACAAAAACACAAAAACAAAAAACCAGCTGCCATGTCTTGTAACAGCTAAATAGATAATATAACATTGTGACCCCAACATATCCTTCTGACATGTATACCCAGTTGAAATGAATGTTCACGCCCCTATGTTTATTCTTGTGTGTGTATGTTTGTGGGCATACACATACATGTCCTTGGTGTGTGTTTGGAGGTCAGAGGACAACTTGCAGGAGTCTGTTCCCTCCTCCTATCATGTGGGATTGAACTTAGGTCATCAGGCTCAGCAGCATGTACTTTTATCCACTAACTCTCATTAGCCTGGAATCTTTTTTTTTTTTTTTTTTTTTTTTTTGGGGGTTTTTCGAGACAGGGTTTCTTTGTGTAGCCCTGGCTGTCCTGGAATTCAAACCCAGAGATCTGCCTGCCTCTGCCACCCAAATGCTGCGATTAAAGGTGTATACCACTACCTCTCAGCTGGCCTAGAATCTTTTAAAAATCGACCTAGATGTTGGATAAATGTCTTTGACTCTTTGACTGTAAGTTAGTCACTTGCTTTTATCTAGCCGCAAAGGAGGCTGGGAGATGCGGCCTGTAAGTAAGCCTCAGTGCGAAGCAGATGGTCATACTGTCATGTATGGAGTTGCCATGCTGTCTACTTAACCATTGTTCCAGCCATTGTGGGGCCCATTGGACTGTTAGCTTAGCGTCTTGTTTTCTAACATGAGATGCTCAGTGTGCATTTGCTAAGCTTGAAAAGTATTGGTTGCCCCCTCATAGGTCTTTCCTTCCAGGCTCTACTTGAATCTGGTTCTTGGCAATGTGAACGTGACCCTCCTCAGCAACCAGGCCAAGTGAGTATGCCCAGATCCCAACCAGCGCCAGGGAAGCCAGCCTCTTGTTCCTTTTCTAGGGGATGATGGATTGAAGCTAGGGTTTTTGCATGGATCAAAACTTCTTAGCAGCCGGGCAGTGGTGGCGAACGCCTTTAATCCCAGCACTCGGGAGGCAGAGACAGGCGGATCTCTGTGAGTTCAACACCAGCCCGGTCTACAAGAGCGAGTGCCAGGATAGGCTCCAAAGCCACAGAGAAACCCTGTCTCGAAAAACCAAAAAAAAAAAAAAAAAAAAAACTTCCTGCCCACCTCCATGGGGGAGCTTTTGGGGGACCATTCCCTTCTTCCTTTCCCAGAGTCAGTGTGTTAGTGGATAGGGACCACCCCTCAACACCCCCCCCCCATTTCCCACGAGAGTGACATTTACTCTCTCTTACACCTTATCACAGCATTTGTCTTGGAGAACATAGTCCTGCCTAACCAATTTAGGTGACATTTCCAGGTGGCATTGGCCCTTGTATCTGCTGCAATCTTTAGGTGAGGGTAGAGAACTTGTCTTTGATCCATCTGTCCCCAACCTGACCCCAAATCCCAGGGACAGGGTCCTCTTTCCCTCACTGGACATGGCTAGTTGAGGTCAGGTTCTGCTTGAGATCGATGGGCAGGATTGCGGAGGCAGGGCTAGTGGCTGGTGAGGTAGAGTTGGGAGGGTAGCAATATGAAACCTTTCCTGGGATATCTTTCATGGCAGGTTTGCATACAAGGACGAGTATGAGAAGTTCAAGCTCTACCTGACCATAATCCTGCTTCTGGGTGCTGTGGCATGTCGCTTTGTCCTTCACTACAGGTAATGGGGCCTGGCTGTGTGGGGGAGGGCATGGGAGTATGAGGAGGGAGGCTTTTCTGCTTCCCCAACCTGTGGCTACTATAGGGTGGGGAGGACCAGTTCTGACTGACAGGAAAGTAGCACTCCCGCCCATTCTGTATCCATCTTGTAAGCTTCATGGAATAGCTGCTAGCAGGGCCTCATGATGTAGTCATTGACAGAGTCTAGTGTGGTTTACATGTAGGCTGGAATGTGACACAGCCTTAACATGGGGCACAACCCTGATATGCTGTAGCATGGATGATCTTTGACAGCATCGTGCTAAGTGAAAGATGCCAGGTACAAAGGCCACAGTGTTTATGTCCATTGGTATGAAATGTCCAGAAAGGGCAGGTTCAGAAACATGTAGTGGTGGCAGAACTTGCCAGGGTAAACAGGAGTGGGAATGACAATGGGCAGCCGCATTTCCTTTTGAGAATGAGGGAATGCTCTGGAGTTAGTGGTATAACAGAATGAGCAAAAGACATCAAATTACATCTTTAAAATTAATTAATTAAAATTTTTAATTAATTTATTTTTTAATATGGGATCTCTTTGTAGCCCTGGTTGACCTGGACCTCACTATGTAGTTCAGGCTGGCCTAGAATTCACAGAGATCTGCTGCCTCTGCCTCCCGAGTGCTGGAATTAAAGGCATTCACTCCCCAGCCTTCAGATTACATACCTGAAAAGGAAAAATGCTATGGTATATGAATTATGTTTCAATTACATAAAATTAAATCAATAGGGCTGAAGATGTAACTCAGTTAGGATAGAGCTTGCTTAGTATGCAAGGAGACCTTGGTTCAGTCTCCAGCATTGAATAAGACAGGATTGGTGGTGCACCCCTGTAATTCCAGCTCTTAGAGAGTGGAGACAGGAGGATTAGAAGTTCAAAGTCATCACTGGCTGCAAGAGAGTTGGAGGCCAGTGTAGATGTATGAAACCCTATCTCAAAAAAAGAAAAAGAAAAGATTGATACATAGAAAGATTGATGCATACAAGAATAAAAAGAGCTATCTATCCCAGGCTATCTGGATTTAAATCCTGGCTTTGAGACTGAATGGCTGTATCTACGGGCAAATTCCCTATGGAGTCATCGGTCTCTCCATTTGTTAGACAGTGGCAGCAGGTTGTACCTTATAGGGTTATAGCCATTCAGTGAGCTCGCACTATGTGTGGTAGTATTCAGTGTCTGTCCATCACTGACCAAAAAGGGAGGGATGGCAGATAGAGCTGAGCCGAGGATGGAGACAGGAGCCATACTGCCAAGATGGTCTGGTCCATTCCCCTCACTGCCTGGGTTTTCTGCCTTAAAGGGGGAGGCTTAGGCATTTGGCCTAAGTGTCAAGGTTTACTTCCTGGCATGCATTTTGCTGAGTCTAGCTGCTGGCCTGGCTACTTGAATTTCTCAACAAAGGCCCTTGCAGGCTCTTAGCCCATGCCTGCCCGCTGCCAGTGCCTGGCTCGTGCCCTTGAGGGCAAAGGCTGCGCACACAAGTAATGCCTGCTCATCTGCCCCTTTGAAAGAGAGAGGAGTTCTTGGTGTGCAGTCACAGGTCCTTACACGGGGGCCCCTGGGTTACTCCCTGGGCAGCCTGTGGTGTGTCAGGTTCTAAATCATTGTCTAAACCTCACCTAGAGCCTGGGCACTCCCATTTCTCCTCTCCTCTTATACACGTCTCTAATTTATCCCTTGGACAAAGTTTCACCAGCTGGAGAACACAACAAAAACACATTTTGTCACCACTCTGGAGGCCAGAAGTGAGAGGTCAGGATATCACAGGACTGTGTTGGTTCTGAGTTCCTAGACAGCTGTCTCATGTGGTCATTGTCATCAGTTATTGACATTTTTCAGCTTAAACCGTTATAGTCTGGTTGCTGTGTGAGCTGGATGGCTAGGGAGAGAGCCTCTGGTAGACCTTGGGATATAGGTAAGGCCAGGTAAAGGCGGCTCAGGGCCTGGTTGTGGGCAAGGGAGGCACTCAAGAACTGGTGCAAACCCTCGGGAGTTCTGGTCCTGGCTGTCTTGTCAGGGCGAGGGGAGAGCTGGTCCTGTTCTCTTTCCTGAGGGCTGTTTCTTCCAACCAGGGTGACAGATGAAGTCTTTAACTTTCTGCTCGTGTGGTATTACTGCACCTTGACCATTCGGGAGAGCATTCTCATCAGCAATGGCTCCAGGTAACTAGAGGCCAGCTTTTGGGGGAACAGGGAGCCAAAGAGAAATGTTGACCGCCAGGGTAGGGAAGACCATGGCTGATGCTGCCGGTGTAATGTCACCTACTTTACGGTCAGTCTCTTGCTGACAAGGACCAGAAACCCTATGTCAGACTGATTTCATGTCATTAGAAATCTGTTGTCTCATAAAACAATAGGTTCACTGGGATTGACTTCAGGTAAGGCTTCATTCAGGTATCAGACACCGTAAGTGATACTGTTTCTCTTCACCCCTCACACTCCCATTCTGTGCTCTCTGTTTTCGGGCTCTATATAGGGTGTTGCAAAACCCTGGGCTCATGTCCTCACTCCTAGCAAACCCGGTATATTTCCTTTCTTTTGAGAGTCTCCCCAGCCATGGACCATTGGCTGGTTGCAGGCACTGGCTGGACCACATGCCTGTCTCTGAACCAGTCATTGTCACCAGAGAATGAAAGGTTGTGATTGGCCAGGCTTGAATGGTGTGTCTGTCACAGCTCCAGGGACAGACCTGACTGGGACATCGAGGGAATGAAGAAAAGGCAAACACACACAGACACATGGGCACACAGAAATAACTGGGTTCAAGTGGACTGGGCTCTCTGGTGGACTCTCGGGTGGATGGCAGCTCTCCAGAAGCTCACTGTGTTTATAATACAGAATCGAACGGAGTTGTGGTTATTACATACAGCTGAACAAGGAGTCAGTAACTGCATACAGATAAACAAAGAGGCAGGGTTATGGTATACAGATGGACCAAGGAGAAGGGTTAGCTGATCTCAGTAGGAGATCAGCCTCTGTAGCCTCTGTAGGGAAGCAACCTTTAGTCCATAAATTACTGGGGGAAGAAAGCTACAGTGGACGTTTTCTGCACATAACTATTGGCATTTGTACTTGGACCAGGAAGGAAGACTTTGCCATTTCTGAGCCTAGCTCAGGGTTGGCTTTGCCATTTCCTAGTCTTGAAGGTCTTTGACATGGCTGTGCTCATGTGAGTAGCACACATTCATTTGGGGTTTCCTGTATGACATGTGAGTATCACCTTCCCTAGGTCCATCAGCAAATAGAAAGAAGTGCCAGGAGCGGGGCTGGGTCCCGAGGAACATTGTTTCTGGGAGAATGAATGGATTTTGATGAAAGGAGTGGAATGTCTTCCAGAAGAGAAGTAAGGAGGAGAGTAGTGATAGGGTCTTCAGGGTGTCTGAGCAGATCCGGAGCACTGGGAAGGCTGTGGTTTCTCTTTGGACTGTTTCAGTGTCCCTTGGGGGAGCCACCATGTCTAAGTGTCAGTGTGTGAATATAGGCAGATGGTTCCCAATGGTTCTGAATTCAGGAAGGCCCACTGTGGTTTTTTTTTTTTCCGAGACAGGGTTTCTCTGTGGCTTTGGAGGTTGTTGTCCTGGAACTTGCTCTTGTAGACCAGGTTGGCCTCGAACTCACAGAGATCCACCTACATCTGCCTCCCGAGTGCTGGGATTAAAGGCGTGTGCCACCAACGCCTGGCGCCCACTGTTTTTTCTTTATCTCCTGTCTGCACTGCCTGCCTCTGAGTGGAGTTTGGATCCCAGTTAAGATCCATGATTTGGGGGACTGGAGAGATGACCTAGCAGTTAACTGCACTTGCTACTCTTGCAGAGGACCCACGCTTGGTTTCTAGTACCCACATGATGGCTCACAACCGCCTGTAACTCCAGTCCCAGGGGATCCAACACCCTCGTCTGGCTTCTGAGGATACCGGGCACGTATGTGGAGCCCGTACATACATATAGGCAAAACAGCCATACACATAAAATAAAATTTTAAAGAAGATTTAAAAAATATTTTTAAAAAGACCCCTGATTTGGGCTGGCAAGATGGCTCAATGGGTAAAGGCTCTTGACACAAAGCCTTGGCCTGATATCAGTTCTGGGACCCTCATAATGGAAGGAGAGAACTAACTGTAAAGTTGTTTTCTGGGGGGCTAGCAAGATGGTTCAGTGGTTAAGAGCACTGGCTGCTCTTCCAGAGGTTCTAAATTCAATTACCAACAACCACACGGTGGCTCACAACTATTTATAGTGGGGTCTGCTCCCCTCTTCTGGCATACAGGCATAAATGCAGATAGAACACTCATATATAAATTTAAAAAAAATTTTCTGACCTCCACACACTCCCACCCATAATAAACAAATAAATGTAATTAAAATATTTTTTATTTTTATTTATTTATTTATTTGTTTGTTTGGTTTGGTTTTTCCAGACAGGGTTTCTCTGTGGCTTTGGAGGCTGTCCTGGAACTAGCTCTTGTAGACCAGGCTGGCCTTGAACTCACAGAGATCCGCCTGCTTCTGCCTCCCGACTGCTGGGATCAAAGGCGTGCGCCAAAAATGCCCGGCTAAAATATTTTTTAAAAGATCCAAAATATTTTTGGAGTGATGGCCCACATCTTTACTCCTAGCACTTTGAAGGCAGAGGCAGGTAGATCTCAGTGAGTTTGAGTCCAGCCTGATCTATATAAAGTGAGTGTAAGGACAGCCAGGGCAATACAAAGAGCCACCCCCACCCAGTCATGTGACATTATCTCACTTTCCCTCCTGGAGGTCTCTTGCAGCAGGTTCTTTCCCTGCATGTTTCCACCTTGAACACTGAGCCCAGAGGTAAGGACAGTGCTGCAAGCACTCCAGCAGGACAGCAATGCTTAGGGATGTAGCTTGTAGCATGCAGATGAGGGCAGTCTTTCTCAAAGTGTCCTCATCCTTGTCCTGTCCATGCCACTGTTACCATCTCCACGTACCACCTGGGCCATAAGTTCCTTACAGTGTAAATCAACCCACTCCTCATTTTGTTTTATTGATTGATTGATTGATTGATTGTCTTTTGAGGCAGAGTCTTCAGTAGTAGCCTAGCCTGGGCTCTTCCTGCTTTAGTCACTTCAGTTTCTGGGATTTCAGGTGTGTACCACCATGTCTAGCAACAGTTTTCTTCTGGTGGCTATTATGGGGTCTCACTATGTAGCCCTGGCTGGCCTAGAACTTGCTGTGTAAAGCCAGGCGTTGGTGGCACATGCCTTTGATCCCAGCACTCGGGAGGCAGAGGCAGGCAGATCTCTGTGAGTTCGAGACCAGCCTGGTCTACAGAGCGAGTGCCAGGACAGCCTCCAAAGCCACAGAAAAACCCTGTCTCAAAAAACCAAATTAAAAAAAAAGAGAGAGGGGCTGGAGAGATGGCTTAGAGGTTAAGAACACTGGCTGCTCTTCCAGAGGTCCTGAGTTCAATTCCCAGCAACCACATGGTGGCTCACAACCATCCATAATAAGATCTGGTGCCCTCTTCAGGCCTGCAGACATACATGGAGGCAGAATGTTGTATACATAAATAAATAAATAAATAAATAAATAAATAAATAAATAAATCTGAGAGAGAGAGAGAGAGAGAGAGAGAGAGAGAGAGAGAGAAAAGAGCTTGCTGTGTAGACCTGGCTGGCCTTGAACTCACAGAGATCCCTCTCTTTTGTCTCCCAAATGCTGGGAATAAATGCATGTGCCACCACACCTGGATCCACACCCTATCCCACCATCTTTTTTTTTTTTTTTTAACTTTCTGGTGACCTGCTCTTTTCCTGTCCCCATGAGCTTGCTGTTTGGCTCGTTGTTTCTGTTGCACACATTAAGAGTATTGGTGGAGGGGTAGGCAGGAGAGAGATGGCTCAGTGGTTTTAAGAGCGAGTATTATTCTCACAGAGGACTGAGTTCGATTCCCAGCACCCACAGCTGTCAGCTCACAACTGCCTGTAACTCTAGCTCCAGGGGGTCTAGTACTTGAGCAAACACACATACACCAGTCACACATGCACAGATAAATGGATGTATAGAAGGACAGACAGACAGACAGACAGACAGATGGATGGATGGACACACAATAAAGGACTACTGAGAGCATGGGTGGTCTTTGATAGCAGTTTCCATGTTGGAGTAGTTTCTCTGCCTTTGTGTTTGCTTTAGAATGTTTAGCGGTGCGTGGGCTGTTACCAGAGAGAAAAGAATGGGATTAAACTACTAGAGAGGGTCCCCTTGAAGGACAAGGCTCTTCAGGGACACTAAAAGTGTCAGGAGAGTAGAGTTCCAGAGCCACGCCTCGCTTGCCTTAGTTTAGCGGGAGCTTTTCTGGGTTCCTTGGAGCAGGGATGCTCACCTGCATTTATAACGAGCTTTGGGTGCGGGTTTGCCTGCCATTCATCCGGCAGACACTGGGTGAGGGATTTTTAGATAACTAAATTCTTTGCCTCTTGGGGTCAGCCACAAATGTTTTAAAGAGGCTTTCCCACACAATCCCATGCAGTGGTGGACCTGTTTCTCCAGGTCCTGCGGGAGGAGAGCCTAGTAGACCAGTCGACCATACCTTCTAGAGTGAACACAGGAGCTGTGAGCAGTCTGTGGGGTGATAGGACAAGGCAGGTGGACAACTCTGTGCATCTTAGGTTTTACATTTATTTATTTATTGTCTATTTATGTATTGTTTGTCTATAGGTGGGTTTGCATATGCAATTATGTGCCTCTTTTTTTTTTTTTTTTTTTTTTTTGAGACAGGGTTTCTGTGTGTAGGCTGTCCTGGAACTCACTCTGTAGACCAGGCTGCCCTTGAACTCACAGGGACCCCCCTGCCTCTGCCTCCCGAGTCTGGGATAAAAGGCGTGTGCCATGACTACCCGGTGCGTCTTAATTTTTTGGCATTTATTATTTTATTATGTGTATATGTCGGCATGCATGTGCAACTATGTATGTCTTAATATTTTGCATATTAATATTGTCTCTGTGTATGTGGGTGTGCACATACAGTTGTGTGCACTTTAATTTTTTTTAACATTTATTATCTGTGCATGTGTGGGGATGCCCGTGCCATCTTGTGCATGAAGAAGACTTAATGCAGCCTGTAGAAGTTCTGGGGATTGAATTCAGGTTGTCAGGCTTGGCAGCAAGTGCCCCTCCCACTGAGCCATCCCATGCTGGTCCCTCTCTCACCCCTTAAACCTCACAGAGCTTGTGCAGGACTGGTGGTACCCAGGAAACACCTCTAAGTCTTAGTGAGATGGATGCAATCTGAGCTCTTCAGTGAGGAGAGGTCTTTGGGGATACCTAGGTGTTCCTGGGACAGCCACCTGAAGCTTCCTGGAGACCTGATGGGCACCGTGCAGCACATCTCCTCATTCCTGTTTTGTACCAGGAGCAGAACTAGAACAGAAGGAAATCATGGAGAGCAGGTCTGGGGTGGTGGTCTGGGGACTGCTCTACCTTGAGATGGTGCCATCCTGGATGAGTCTGATATCTCCCACCGCTGATGTCATTCGTTAGTTCAATAAAGAAGTCAGCTTTCCCTTGCATTTTACAAATGTCGGAAGCCCACCTAATGAACCAAATCTGAAGGGCTCTTACTGTTCTTTAACTGGGAAGTTCAAGGAGGCATGAAGGGATCCAGCAGTGCCACTGGCTACGCCCCCCCCCCCCCCCCCCCACTCCCCACAGCCCAGGCTGGCTTCCTATCTCAGCCACAGCCTCAGAGTAAGAAGCCTTCCTGTCATTCCCACAGAGTCAGTGGGAGTCCTGAGATGGACTTCTGATTGGCTAAGCTTGAGTCACTTGCTGACTTCTGAGCCAATCACTGTGACTTGAGGGGCTGTAGACCCCACAGGACTGGCTCTGAGCTATGTGTCCAGATTTATTCCCCATCTCTATTCAAATCCCTGCCTGGATGAGTGCTGTCCCATAAGGAAGCAGAGGCCTGGGAACCAGAATGGCTGATGATTGGCAGATGGCAAAAGGGCCTTTTCTTCTGGACCAGAATGACTAAGGAATCAACAGTCATGTTGGTTTATTCCAAGGAGCCAGCCATGATCCCTGGCTTCTGGCTCTTTTAGGGGCTATACTTAGAACAGATGTATCCAGAAGGTAGCAGGGAGAGAGAGAGAGAGAGAGAGAGAGAGAGAGAGAGAGAGAGAGAGAGAGAGAGAGAGAGAGAGAGCCTGCAATGCAGAAATCATCCCACCAGCTATTCTAAAAATCCAAAGGATAAAGCCAGAAGCTACCTGAGGCCAAACAATGAGTGCCTGGTGCACCTCTCTTCTGCATATGTGACCTGCAGAGAGAAGCAGTGAGCTCTCCCACACACAGTGCCCAGAGACTAGTACATTCTGTCCCCACATTCTAGATGCAAGTGTACCTGCTCCCCTCCCCCCCCAGCCCCCAAGCTCCCTGCAATCTGCATTTCTGTAGCAAACAGGTCCAAGTCTAATAGGGGTGAAACCAAGGTCTAAAATCAATCGTAGTGATGGTGGCACAGCTCTGTAAAAAGACTAAAACCCACTGAGTTGTATAGTATCTGAATTCTATTACAGTGAAAACTGTTACATAAACACATAGGCACAGAACCGGCCTAGAGCCTTGGGGTATGCAGATGATGATGGTGGTTGCTCATGATCGAGAAGCTGGATTTCTAGTTTCACCCGATGTCGCCGAGCTGTGTTTATTGGTGGCATCTGTCAGAGCTGGGCTCTGGGCACAGCGAGCTGTGAAATTAAAAGCTGCTGCTCAGTCAGGCTTGTTGTCCAGGGTCTGTATCAAGCCCGAACTGCTCCCACACCGGGGGAGCTTTGCGGAGAGTAGGACAAAGGAGCTTGGGGGTGGCCAAGATATGAGGGCTGTGGCATGGCCTTGCAAAGCTCTGGGGAGGTTGCAGTGAGGCCTCTTGGTTAAGCGAAAAGTCTGAGGACCTGGCTAACTGCCTTTACTGTTAGGAAATTGGAGCCAGGGTCTTTTAGATGCTGAAAGGTTTTTAAAGACAGGGTTTCTCTGTGTAGCCTTGGCTGTCCTGGAACTCACTCTGTAGACCAGTTTGGCCTTGAAATCACAGATCCGCCTGCCTCTGCCTCCCAAGTGCTGGGATCATGGGAGTGCACCACCACCACCTGGCTTTTGTAATTTCTAATTGTGTAGACATGTGTGTGCATGTTGATATGAGCACATGGGTACAGGTGCCTATAGTACCAGTCCTGGCTGGTTTTGTGTCAGCTTGACACAAGCTAGAGTCATCAGAGAGGAAGGAGCCTCAGCTGATGATACCTTTTTCCATGAGATTCTGCTGTAAGGCAGTTTTTCAATTGGTGATCAATTCGGGAGGGCCCAGTCCATTGTGGGTGGGGCCATCCATCCTTAGGCTGGTGGTCCTGGGTTCTGTAAGAAAGCAGGCTGAGCAAGCCATGAGGAGTAAGCCAGTAAACAGCACCCCTCCATGGTGTCTGCATTAGCTCCTGCCTCCAGGTTCCTGCCCTGTTTGAGTTCCTGTCCTGACTTCTTTAGTGATGAGCAAAGCTGTGGAAGTGTAAGCCAAATAAACTCTTTCCTCCCAAGTTGCTTTATGGTTGTGGTGTTTTGTTGCAGCAATAGAAACCCTTACTAAGACCAAAGATGTTGGATCCCCTGGAGGTTGGGTTACAGGTGTCTGTGAGACACCTAACATGGATACTGGAAACTGAACTCAGGTCCTTCAGATGAGCAGTAGGTGCTCTGCTTAACCACTGAGCCATCTCTCCAGCTTCTCTTTCTTTATATTTGAGACAAGCTCTCAATATGTTGTCCAGGCTGACTTTGAACTCAAGATCCTCCTGTAGCAACCCTCTATGTGTTGGGATAATAGGTCTGTGTCACCAGGCCTGGTTTTAGGCTGCTTCTCTCAATAGCCATAGCTCTGGATATTATTTCATTCATGTTGTCACCTGCTTTCGGTAGAGGTGACAACATAGAGCCATGTCAGCTGTTCTCAATAGACCCTTCTTCCCATTGCAAAGAAGGCCTTAGCATCCCATCCCCGACAGCAGATCCTCATGGTCCCTTCTACTTATTATATAGACCAGGCTGGTCTTGAACTCCTCACAAGTAATCTGCCTGCCTCTGCCTCCTGAGAAAATGAAAACTAGGTTTCTATCCCTAATGGGGTTATGGAACTGTTTTAGGTAGTGTAGTCAGCAAAGGCCTTTGGGTGGAGTGACATTGGGTCTGAAACTCAAGTTGGGACCCCAGGGCATAGCAAGGAATAAACTAGGAGCCTAAAGGACAGCATGTACAAAGGACCTGTATCTGTCTGTGGGGCTGCCACAAGGTACCACACATTGGGCATCTTAACCAATGGACATTTCTTGCCTGTGGCTCTGGGGGCTGAAGTCAGGGATCTGGGTGTCATCAGTGCTGGCTTGCAGGTTGGTACCTTCTCATCCTGTGTTCTGTGTGGTCTTTCCTCTGTGCTCTGGTCTTCCTGGTCCTTCTGTTACAGAGACACTGGGTGAAAGATAGTCAGTGAAGGCTTCACCCTTGTGTCTCCTTAGCCTCAGTTACCTCTCCAGATGCAGTCATGCTGGAAGGCACAAGGGGGTTAGGCTCCAGCATAGGAATCTGCACACACAGTTCAATCATCATAGGTCCTAGTTATCATTAGGTTTGGTGTATCTCAGTGCTGGGGAGCTGGGTAAGGTAGCTGGTAGGTCATAGAACAGGTCCCTGGGTCATCTGCAAGTAGTTTGTGCCTCTGCAGGAAGAGATGAGGTGTGGTTTGAGCCCATTTCTTATCCCAGCTGCAGAGCAGCCCGTGCTCCTCCGAGGCTAGGAAGCAGAAGGACATCTGCATTTCTCTCCCCATCTGAACTCTTTTCTTTCTCTTGTTCTCACCAAGAATCAAAGGCTGGTGGGTGTCTCACCATTACGTCTCCACGTTCCTGTCTGGAGTGATGCTGACTTGGTGAGTCATCCCTCACTGGCCCCTTTGACCGTACTCCCCATCCTTCCCATGGAGCCAGAGCTGGGGCTGGTACATGAGGAAGAAAGCAAGTGTGAACTGAAAACTGGGTTAGAGGCCCAGCTGCCGGGGTCCTGCCAAGACAGCTGGGAGATTTCTGGGGACGGTTTCACAGTTTCTGTTGGCTGGGACAGAGATGACAGGGAGCAGCACGAGGAATCAGAGTGATCATTCTGGAAGAGTCCCTTCATTCTGGAAAGGGTGATGGGTATGATCTGGTCAGCTCAAGGACAAAGGACAGGAATCTGGGACTTTGTTTTACCTTTGGAATGTTTTCTTCCCTTTCTGTGGGAATGAAAACAAGAAATATGAACGGATGTCTGGTTTTACAGGTTGTCCCACCTTTGTGTTTTTTTCCAGGCCTAATGGACTAATTTATCAGAAGTTTCGAAATCAGTTTTTAGCATTCTCCATTTTTCAGAGTGAGTGCTCAAGCCCAGCTTTGGGGGAGGGACCTGGTTTCCCAAGGTCCCTGGCCCATGTGGAAGGGAGGGAGAGGGTCCTGGCCAGATATCTAGATCACCCATCTCCCACCCCCAATACGGTTTTTCATACTTGTCTGAACATGCTTTATCCCTTACAGTATGGACAGCTCAGGCATGTAATGATCCATCAAAGCACCAACCAGATTAGAAGCCTTTGGAATTTTCCTAGGCTTGCAGTAGGCACTCAATAAATGCTTTTTTGGAATTCAAGCTATGTGAGATTTTCTGGGAGCAACATGCAGCATTGAGAAGCACAGGAGTGGCTCCGTGCTGAGGGAAACACAGCTGCTAAAATGAGGTAGCGACTTAGAAGTGTAGCTGTGGTAACTTATTAAAATAAAAAAGTAGGTCACCAGGGTGTTCTCTCTGCCCTTCTGCTCAGTGCAGCCACTGGCTTGCACTTGATAAGGACATTGGATTTGGGGGAGAGGCCTAGGGTATATTTTCCTTGAGTGTGGGCAATGTGCTCCCCCTACAGGCTGTGTTCAGTTCCTACAGTACTATTACCAGAGGGGCTGTCTCTACAGACTGCGAGCCCTGGGGGAGAGGAACCACCTGGACCTCACCGTGGGTGAGTAACTGGGCAACAGGTAGAGTTGGGAAAACTGGCCACCTCCCTGGATAGAGGCCCATCATCAGAAGGGCATAGGACCTCCAGGCCTCCTCAAAACTGGGGCTACCATTCTTTACCCAACTTGCTGTTCATAATTCATCGGGGATCCTGTTTCAGCCACCAAGTGTGGCAGCAACAGAATGCTAGGCGGCTCAGTGCTGGGCCTCAACCTTACCCTTGGAAACACATGCATTTTTTGTCTCAACTTTATAATACACATGGTGTTTGGCCGGGTGTGGTGGGACATATCTGAAGTCCCAGCTGCTTGGGAGGCTGACACAGGAGGATCACTTTAGCCTAGAAGTTTGAGGTCAGCCTGGGTGGCAGAGAGACCCTGTTGTTTTTAAGTAGTCACACACACTTAACCTCTTAACTCTTTCTACAGAAGGGTTCCAGTCTTGGATGTGGCGGGGCCTCACCTTCCTCCTGCCTTTCCTTTTCTGTGGCCATGTGAGTCCCTTTGTTTGTGGGTACCCCTGTCAGGGATGACCCCTGGGAACAGAAGATCTTTGGGGTTTCCCTCCCTCACCAGGTATCTGTCCCCAGGATACCCACCCAGCTCCCTGTTGTATGAGCCTTAGAGCTTCCTGGGGGTCTTAGGGCTTCCCCACTGCTTGTGGCCATAGTGCAGGATAGGGCCAGTCTCTCTAAAGGAGAAGTGGAAAGGCCCAGGTAGTCCCCCTCCCCCATCCCCATTTCCTCAGGATCTAGGGACACTATAGACAGAAGAGAGAGCTGGCCCTTGAGACTTGCGGTCTCGGAGACGTGTGTGTGTGTGTGTGTGTGTGTGTGTGTGTGTGTGTGTGTGTGTTTTAATAACTAGTAAATAATAAATATTTACTGAATATAATAAAATTAGATTTGGGAATGTTGTTAAAACAAATAACAATTAACTGGGAAGGGGGTGTCAGTGTCTTGGGGGAGTTGGTCTTGGATGCTGGGGGTTTGGTCCATCTCCCTGGCTTTCCACATGGATCTGCAGGGAAACTGATGGGTGAGTGGTGCCTGTCTCCCTGTCTCCAGTTCTGGCAGCTCTACAATGCCGTCACGTTGTTTGAGCTCTCCAGCCACGAGGAATGCAAAGAATGGCAGGGACCATGCATACATGTGTCTGTCTGTCTGTCTGTCGGAAGGGAGCAGGAGGCTTGAAGAGGGCTGGGCTGCCTTGGGGAGGATTCTTTCCATCCCTTGGTTCTGGGTTCCTGCTGCCCAGAGTTCTCTGCTGCTGGGATCAGAGAGGAAATAGGAATTCAAGAGGTCAGGGGATCCCTCAGTGTCATTGAACAAAGGAGTATTACCCCACCTGACCTTGGGGACTCAACCTTATTCACCTACTTGCACACTTTGCTGGCCACTCCTGTGGCTTTGCTAAGGGTCTGGGTTTGAGGTTAGAGGCTGGTTCTTCTACAGAGAATTGACTCAAGCTTCTCCTTCCTCCCCTACCCCGGGTATTGCTCTGGATCTACTAGGTATTTGTGTTGGCACTCACCTTCCTCATCCTCTTCCTTGGCAATTTCCTGACCACACTCAAAGTCGTGCACGCCAAACTCCAGAAGAACGGAAACAAGACAAAGCAGCCATGAGCCTCCGCACTCCTGTGCCAGGGGTCTTGGGACTTAAGACTGCTGGAGATTCCAGTCAGCACCCTGGCTGCCAGTCACTGGTAGCCATGTGCAGCAGCATCTCAGGGTCCAGCAGCATCACTGGGAACAGGGCTAAGGCCCTGGTCCCTGGCCAGACACGAGGAATGTGAAGGCCGCCTGTGCGCACAGTATTAACCTGCCCCAACTCCCTATTTATGACATATTTAATACTGGGTCTTCCCTGCTTCCCCGGACTCTGAGGCCTCCCCTGCAGCCCTGGGTAATGGCAGTGGCCATATCTGTGCCTGTCTTCCAGGGAGGGGCAAAAAGCCTCAGAGAACCCCTCTCTTCCTATCATTTGAACCCCTCACTGGGGTTTGGATGTGCCTCACTGGGGTTGGCTTTAGCCGACCTGCTATTTACTGTGTCCCAGGCACCTGGTGGAATGAAACTTTTAGCATCCTGTGGAGCCCCTTCCCGTGGGCCACCACCTCTGTGTAAGCTCCCCGTAGCCCCCACCTTCTGTGGTGAGGGAGTATTTAAGTTCTCAGAGATCCTGCCTGTCCTGTGTCTTGCTTTGTGTTTCCTGCACCACCTGCCTGCTGGCCACTATGGGAGAAAGGCGCAGCCTACTCAGGACCTAGAGGTCTCTTCCCCTTGGAGCCCTGAGGTGGCAGGGTTTTAAGGATGCTCTCCACCAGAGGGCGCCCAGTGGGCTCTTGGGGTTTCTCACTGCTGCCCTTGAGCCTTCCTTCACTCATCAGGGTTTTAAGGATGCTCTCCACCAGAGGGCACCCAGTGGGCTCTTGGGGTTTCTCACTGCTGCCCTTGAGCCTTCCTTCACAAACTTGCTGTTGAGTCCTTGACATAGGACCTAGGAACTTAAGCCATTTGGAGGTCACTCATTCCCTGCCTCTCTCCACCTCAAAGTGTCTTCTATGTTTGGGAAGGGCTGTGCGGCCCTTAAGGGTGGAGGCACAAACAGGTTCCATTAAGTGTTCTGTCCCTTCCCACCCATGGGCCTTAGCTGCCCGCTCGACCCTGCTTCCCAGCTGGTGTCCTCGGACATGCTTCATTTGGTCCTCACAGGAGTTTCAAATTCTTCAGTTGTGTGATAAAAATGAGGTCTCACCTCCCCCACCCTGAGATTCCACAAGAATCCAGATTTCTGTTTACCTTACAAAAATGGAAAGACCTGACAACATTCCCAAAGGGCAAGATCAGGCACCTGCTCCTGTTTGCCACAGCCTGCCCCTCCCTCCATCCCTGCCCTATTCTTTAACCCTATGTTGGGTATTTTGCACCGTTGCGTCTAGTTGATGATGCCCCTCCCTCCATCCCTGCCCTACTTCTGTCCTTGGTCTCCTGTCCTAGGATCACCTGGCCTGTCCTTTGCAGGCACCTATGATTGGCCCAGGTTAGGAATCAGCAAACTTTTCCCATTAAAGCCCAGATGATGAGTATTTTAAGCTTTGTGGGCTAGTCCTGTGGTAACTTCAGCCTGCAGGTGTGGAGCAAAAACTGCCATTGCATAATTGTGGCGGTTCAATAAAACTTTATTTACAAAAACAGGCAGTGGCCACATGTGGCCCACAGGCTGTGGTTTGTTGACCTCTGCCCTACACCATAATTTATTCACAAGGCCTTTGATTCTGAGAGAACAAGAGGTCCTTGGTTGGCTCTGCAGGGGACCGCAGGGCCCTGGGGCACTTGGGGGAAGGGGATCAGAAGTCTCTTTCCTTGGCAACCTGACTTTGGGGCTGAGTCAAGAGGTACTGGGAGAGACGGGCCAGCCAAGGCCATGGTTTCTTCTTGGGAGACTCTGACTTCCTCCTGGGGGCACTAAAGCCACCTGGGACCCTTGACTTGAAAAGTTCTGAAATGTAGACTCTAGACCTTCCGGAAGGAAAAGTCAGAACTCAAGAATCTTGCTGTCGTAGACACTGGTGATCTGCAGGCCAGTTCTGGAAAACTGTCCAGTGTGGCCAGGAGTGACCATGTCAGTTCTGGAAGGAGGCAGGGATAGTCCATTCCCAAGCCCTACAACCTGGTAGGAGTAGAGACTGCGTGGAGTGGAAGATGAAAGAGCTTGGCTACGCCAATGACCCAACCCTGGCCATTTACAGATGGGGGATGGTCTAGGGAGAGGGCTCATTTCCCTGAGGCCCCTGACAGGGGTGCAGGCACTGCCCATCAGGAGTCCTCAGTGTGGAAGTCGGCTGGGGGTTTGGAGGTGGGACCTGGAGCAGGGATCGGATGGGAGGCCTGCCTGGCCTGAGTATATTTTGACCTTTTGAGAGATCGTTTCTTAGGCTCCTGAACATCTGTCTCAGGCCAAGACAAAAGTCTTCAGTGTGGTACAGAGCGAGCAGCTGGTGCCAGCCCCATGTCCGATTTGATGCCTGGGTTCTCCTGATAGGCTGTGGCCCCAGGTTCCTGAGGGGAAGAAGGAAGAGGCTGGAGGATGTAGAGGAGCCTATCTCAGGAGCTCAGGGAGACAGTGACAGAGGAACAGTGGGCTTGGGACTCCTGTGAACGGCGTGGTATATCCACATTAGCCCACATTCTCAATGCCTTTCTGAGTTTCAAGCGTGAATTGGGTTTGGAAAGGGAAACACGCATGGCTGGGGCAAGAAGGAGCTGTGACAAGGGCCCTCTTGTGGCCTAGGAACATGTGCCAATCCCAAGGAAGAGGGACATTGGTGGGTCTAACACCATCGTTCGCCCTTGAACTAGAGCACGAACCCAAAGGGGACAGTTGGAAAATGCTCCAAGAGTCTAGCCCAAGATGCCAGGCATTGGAAAGCTCTGATGGGTCAGAGTCCCAGGAGTGGCCTAGGCCTGGGTCCGTGGCCATGACAGTTCCACTCAGGGCTGTCTGTCCCAGGGTTACAGCAGCAGGCAGATTCTGTGTTTTTTCTGCCTCTGTGCTTTCTTCAGGGCGCTGAGGGCCACCTTGGCAGCTTCCCTGAAGACATCTTCCACATTCTCCCGAAACTTGGCAGAACATTCCAGATAGAGTGCAGCTCGCATCTGTTCGCAGGCACTCATGCCCTGGGATGGGGGAGGGGGGGCAGAATTAATTAGACGAGGGCCTGGTGCCTCCTGACACCCCTTCAGAGTCTTAGGAGTTTGGGCTAGCTTTGGAGGCTCTCCAGAGCTGGAAAACTAACTTTGGTGGAGACCAAAGTCTCTGTTTGAGCACTAGCCCGTTTGTTGTTTGCATGGCTGGATGGAAGAAACCCCTTGCTGGCCCCACCTGTCCTCTCCCTAGCTTTCAGCAGAGGGGAACTGAATTCTGAGAGCTGGGGCTAGCTACATCTCAGGCCTCTCTGTTCCTTGTCAGTTCCAAACTCAATGAATTTACTGGTGAAGAGAAATAATAAAAACCTTGGTTTTTACACTATATTAGTACCCTATTCCTTCCTATTCATTTGAGACAAGAACTCACTATGTAGCTCTGGCTGGCCTTGAACTCCCAGAGGTCCACCTGCCTCTGCTTCCTGAGTACTGGGATTAAACATGTCCTGTCCAGCCTGTTAGGTTTTGTTTGTTTAGGATTTTCAAGACAGGGTGTCTTTGTGAAGTCTTGGCAGTCCTGGAACTTGCTCTGTAGACTGCGCTGGCTTCAAACTCAGTCCCGACTGCATCTGCCTCTAGAGTGCTGGGATTAAAGGTGTCTGCCTTATATTATTATTAATTATTATTATTTGATGACTCTCTAAGTGAATACTAAGGCACTCCGGTTGAGAAGACCAAGGTTTAGGTGGTTTCGGTTTCTGGCTATGCCTGTTCAGGGATGGTGGACCTGAGTGGTAGCTGGGACTGTGGCCCACCTGTGTATAGGTGATGGGCTCCAGCTGGGCCGCCCGGAGCTTCCGCAGCTGCTCCTTGTCCTTCCTCAGGTCTGTCTTGCAGCCGATGAGAACCATGGGGGTCCCTCGGCAGAAATGAGTGACTTCAGGGAACCACTTCGGAAGAAGAAAGCAGGGTATCAGGGCAAAGGCCTCCCTAGAGCTGACCCCTACTCTCAGAGGCAGGCAGGACTTTACCTTGATGAGGACGTTGTCATAGCTGGTGGGGTTCATGACATCATAGCAGATGAGAACGAGGTGTGTGTTCTGGTAGGACAGAGGCCGCAGCCGGTCATAGTCTTCCTGCCCTGAAACCAGAGGGGGATCAGAGACATGGGGTCCCTGTCTGGGCTTTGATAGGGGGATGATCGCAGGGCCTAATTTCCTCATTTATAAAATGGACAGGACAGGGAAAGAGGGAATAGATTATATGCCATTAAACCCATGCAGTGCTCAGCTGGACTGGTAATAGAACTGTAAACTGAAGCCATTCTGCCAAGGATGAGTGTGCTCCCTTGCCTGTCAAGCCTGAGACTCAGATCTGGGGTCTTGCCATTCAGCTATCTCCAAGGCCCAGAAGCATGTGCTGACTCTAGCCTCCTTGGTTTTGGGGCATCTGCCTAGATTCCTCCTGCCCATTCTTGCAAATGCTAATGAGGTAGGAATAGGCGCATTTATCATATCTCACGGGACAGTGAGCTCCCATTGCACCTGGGGACATGTGACAGTCCTGGACACAGCCCTCCACAGGCCCAGTCCAATCAGAACCTAGAAACTGGGCCTGAGTGTGGCTCATTCTGCTTTTGTAAAATTTAAAGGTAACAGGTAACTCAATTTTTACATTTTTGTTTGTTTTTGACATAGCTGCCTTTTTTTTTTTTCTTTTTTTGAGACAGGGTTTCTCCAACAGCCCTCACTGTCCCGGAACTTCCTTTGTAGACTAGGCTGACCTTGAACTCAGAAACCTGCCTGCCTCTGCTTTGTGATCGTTGGAATTAAAGCAGTATATCACCACCTAGCTTGACATAGGTTCTTACTGTGCAGCCCTAGCTAGCTTGAAACTTGCCATGTGGACCAAGCTAGCCTTAAACACATAATCATCTGTGTGCCTCTACTGGGCATACCTGCCTGTGTTCTGGGCATACCATCATGGCTAGCCACAGGAAACTTATTTTGTCATCAGTTTTAAACTTCCAGAGAGACTGCATGGGCGAACACAGAACCCTTCTGAGCCTCATTTGGTGTTTGTGTTTGGCTCGCCTGCTCCATCTGTCTGCAGTTACCGTGTGTGGTGACTGCATGCATGCTGCCCGAATTGTTCTCCTAGCAGAGTGCCTCAGAACAGCCTTCCCTTGCTTGTCATGGTACTGGCACCAAGCTCAGCAAGCTGCTCTGACCTGTCCTGAATCCATTCTGAATTCACCCACTTCACCAGAAAGATTGTTTCTCTTTCCCAGTCTAGGAACTAGCCGGGATTACATGCCACCTTGAGTCACCTCTCATGGCGAGGGTGACCCTCATCCTCCTCTGTATAAATGTGATGTCCACGTACTATAAGGATCATGGAGGTCCAGGAGGTGCCCATCCAGCCTGTCCCTGTATTTCTGGGTGGTGTCGGCCTGCGCTGCAGTCAGGATATACACACTCCTGTTTTTCCACTGGTAATGGCACAGGTCCCCTCTCCTACCTGGTCCCATGTCCTGGGCCAGCTCCACCAAAGCACAGTCCTAGAGTCATAGGCACCAGAGGCAGGTAAGATACAAGTTCAAACCTCAGCTGTGTCCCTCATTTTGCTGTGTGACTTAGACACGTCACCTGTGGAACCTGAGTCTCCACCTGGAACATCAACATCTCCTCATTTTTCTTCCTTTTTCTTTTTAAAGTTGTTTGAAAATTTTTATTATGCTTTTTAGTTATGGAAGTTTTTAAATTTAAGTATATTTTGATCATATTCTTCTGCTCCCCTTTTCAGCTCACACAACTTTAAGTCCTTTCTCAAAAAGCAAAAATCCAATACAAAACCAGGAAAACAAAACCCCACGCTCCACCCCCAAATAAAACAAACTAGCCAAATAAAAGCACACACAAAAACCCGATGGAGTCCATTATATATTAGTCAACTACTCATGAACATGAGGGCTGTCCTGAGGTGGTTGATATACCACATTGTCACTCTATGGAGAAAACTGATTTTCCCTTTCCCAGCAAGTATAAGTGATAATTCAGTTGCTAACCTTTACCCTAGTGGATAGGCTTTCATTCCTATTCTCTCTCTCTCTCTCTCTCTCTCTCTCTCTCTCTCTCTCTCTCTCTCTCTCTCTCTCTCTCTCTTCCCCCCCACCCCCAGACAGGGTTTCTCTGTGGCTTTGGAGCCTGTCCTGGAACTAGCTCTTGCAGACCAGGCTGTTCTCAACCTCACAAAGGTCCGCCTGCCTCTGCCTCCCGAATGCTGGGATTAAAGGTATGTGCCACCACTGCCCGTTTTTTGAGACAGGGTTTCATGGTATCACAAGCTGGTCCTGAACTCCTGACCCATCTGCCTCCAACTTCCAACTCCTGCTGATCTTACAGGCACAAACCTGCCCATCCAATCTGGAACATGGAAAAGTAATAAGACTTGCCTGTGGGCTGCCACTAACCAATATCCCTCTAATGTATGGGGTTTAGTAAAGTATGCACCAGCCATCGTAATGACAGCTAGGCCAGGGAAAATATCTATGCTGTCCCAGCCCCCTCAACATGGGAAAAAGGGGTGCTTGACTTCAGCCTCCCTTCCCTAGGAGACCCCCTTCGTGGGAATCAGGGCACTGGCTCAGGATGTTGACTGAGGCAGTCTTCCCTCTAAACATCTGTCAATGTCTTTCTAGGTCTGTGTATCCAACAGGGCAGCTTCCAGCCCTGTGTGACGATTTGAATGTCAACTAATTAACAAGAAAAAATTGAGTTCCGTGGTTGCACTAGCTACATTTCAAGTGATTAATTGCCATGCTAGGCTGGCGGCTGTCACCGAAGAGCCTTCAGGATCTGTTTATTGCTTGCTAGTGACCCTGGCCCCATGCCATCCTTTTCAAACTACCAATGGTTTCTCCCTCCCCCACTTTGACATCATCTCATTATATAGTCATAGCTGTCCTGGATCTAACTATGTAGTCTAGACTGGCCTTGAACTCACAGAGATCTGATTGCTTCTGCCTCCTGAGTGCTGGGATCAAAAGCATGCATCACTTACCCAGCTACCAGTGGCTTCTTGTGCCACGTCTTCCCTGATCTGCAGTCCTTCAATAAAACCACTGGCCACCTGGCTGCTGGATGGCTCTTAAAACAATAACCTAGTTCAGCTGCAACACTCAGGGGCTCCCTAGCCCTCTACTGCCTGACACACCAGTTTACTATGCAGTACAGGCTGACCTAGAACTTGGGATGGTTCTCCTGCATCGGTTTCCCTTGTCCTGAGATTATGGGTGTGTACCACCCAAACAGCTTTTTGTTTTGTTTGTAAACATCCAGATCATATAATTTCCTTTTTCTCAGTGTCCATCTTCTCCCTACTTTTACCTTCATCTTATAGCATGTGTTTTGTTTTTAAAGATTTATTCTTTTCATTTTTTGTAATTTATTTAACTTTTATTTTATGTGCACTGGTATGGAAATGTCAGATCCCCTGGAACTGGAGTTACAGACAATTGTGAGCTGCCATGTGGGTGCTAGGAATTGAACTTGGGTCCTCTGGAAAAGCAGCCAGTGCTCTTAACCCCTGACCATCTCTCCAGCTGCTATTTATTTTATGTATGTCTTAATTACTATTCTTTTGTGAGGAGACATCATTAAAAAAAGCAACTTTTTTTCCAAGACAGGGTTTCTCTGTGTAGTTTTGGAGCCTGTTCTGGAACTCACTCTGTAGACCAGGCTGACATGAACTCACAGAGATCTGCCTGCCTCTGCCTCTGCTTCTGCAGTGCTGGGATTAAAGAAGTGTGCCACCATCACAGGGTTCTAGGGCAACTTTTGAAAGAAAGCATTTAATTGAGGGCTGGCTTACAGTATCAGAGGCTTAGTTCATTATCACAGTGGGAAGCATGGCATCACGCAGGCAGTCATGGCAATAGAGAAAATAGCTAAGAGGTCACATCTGGTCTGCAAATTGCACATAGGGCCTGTCTAGGGCTTTTGAAACCTCAAAGCCCACTCCCAGTGACACAGCTCTTCCAACAAGGTCACATCACCTAATCCTTTTTTTTTTTTTTTTTTTTGGTTTTTCGAGACAGGGTTTCTCTGTGGCTTTGGAGCCTATCCTGGCACTCGCTCTGTAGACCAGGCCTCGAACTCACAGATTTATACCTGCCTCTGGCTCCCAAGTGCTGGGATTAAAGGTGTGCACCACCAACACCCGGCCACCTAATCCTTTTCAAACAGTTCCACTAACTGGGTACCAAGTATTTAAACATATAGGCTATGGGGGCCATTTCCATTCATACCATCACAATGGTTATGAGTGTTTTGCCTGCTTATAAGCATGTGCATCATGTGTGTTCCTGGGGTGTATATCGAGTCACCTGAACTAGAATTACAGTGGCTGCAAGCTGTCACATGGGTACTAATAAATACCTACACTGGGTCCCCTGCGAAGCAAGTACTCCTCACTGCTGAGCCGTCTCTCCAACCCAGTGTATGATTTTTTGTTTTATTTTTTTATTTTATGTGTACGTATTGTGTTATACCATGCTTTTCTTGAAAGTATGTCTATGCAGCATGTAACATGCAGTGCTCACAGAATCCAGAAGGCATCAGATCCCCCTGGAATTAGAGTTATAGACAATTGTGAGCTGCCATGTGGGTGCTGGGAACTGAACTTGGGTCCTGTACAAGAGTAACAAGTGATCTTAACTCTTGAGCCATCTCTCGAGCCCCTAGTTGTTGTTTTTTTTTTAAGATTTTATTTATTATGTATACAACATTCTGCTTCCATGTATATCTGCACACCAGAAGAGGGCACCAGACCTCCTAACGATGGTTGTGAGCCACCATGTGGTTGCTGGGAATTGAACTCAGGACCTCTGGAAGAGCAGTTGGTGCTCTTAACGTCTGAGCCATCTCTCCAGCCCCGAGCCCCTAGTTTTTAAGTGTTTGTCTATTCATCATTAAGGGTTCTTTACAGGGTCTGGAAAGATGGCTCAGTGGTTAAGAGCACTTGCTGCTCTTTTTTTTGTTTTTTGTTTTGTTTTGGTTTTTCGAGACAGGGCTTCTCTGTGTAGCCCTAGCTGCTCTGGGACTAGCTCTGTAGACCAGGCTGGCCTCAAACTCACAGAGA